GGGAGGGGGGGCGACCTCACATCCTTTTCTGACATAGACAACAACTTTTCCCTTGCACCTTTCTTCAAATGCTTCTCCTAGGATCCCTCTGAAGCATTTCCGCAGTTTCTTAGCATGTTCTGGGCAGTGCGCCCTGTAGTGCCGTGAGAAAAGAAGCGATCGAGCCTTATAGAAGCGTGGAGAGGTTGCCTAAAGCACTTTTCTTTACCAAGAATATTGATACAAAGCTTGCTTCGAAGGTTCCTACACTCTCTTATCTTCTTTTACCGCTTTCTTATTACATCTATATGTGCATTAGCCGTTAGGGCCACTTTAAATTCCACAAATGATTAAATAAGGGTAAAAGCATAATTTTAGAGTTTTTTATTTATAAAATGAACGGTCCATCATAGGGAACTCGAAGGGCGTCGCAGGGAAGCTAATACCTTCCTTACACCTTACCCAACTAAGGTTATAATGGCCAAAGTTGGTTTTTCTAAACCAACACCTTCTTTTTTCTTCCTTCTTTTCCAATGTTCTCGGATTAAAACATTGGTGGCGACTCCAAAACCCTTTTCAGAACCTCGCCTTTAGGTCCAGCCCGTGATCGGACAACCTAAAGGCGTTGTAGATTCACTTGTAAAAATGCGAGTCGAAGCAAAACCATCGCGGTCGCGTCCGACCGCCTCTTTTGGCGATGGCGACAGATGGCGACTTCAGCTGGAAGCTAGAGGGTTGATCCCATTTAGTGATGGACTAGTTTAATAAATAAGAAACTTAAAAATTTCGCTTTACCCTGCCTTGTTTTATAACATGCTTGTGGGTACAAACCCTTGCACACAAGAGTTCCCCCTATACCCAGGGGCAAGTGGGAAATCCATAGGGGAGTGGGTAAGGTACGATTTGCCGTAGTGAGGGCCATGAGCCCATTGGTACAGTTCGGAAACCACCACTCAAGGTGATAACCTTCCGCTTTTGGTACAAAGGCTGACTAAGGCCTTAAGTGCCATGCATGGTTGGAAGGCTGGAGAGTGGGGACCCTATAATGGGGGCACCTTGGGGGCTTGGCCTTGCCTGAGGAAATCTAGAACTACCCTGAATATGCACTCTTCTCGAGGAAAACCCTACCCTCGTAATTAAAACGTCGTCCTACTTTGTTCGCGGATGAGTGAATTGTGTGTGCATTTGTTTGTTGCATTTGATTGTTGCATAGCATAACCATACAACATATAAAAATAGAAAAAACCTCAAAAAATCTTTTCATAATAAACACCCTTATCTTGGACAGTCTCGCCTTTTAGCTAGCCTGGTTTCAGTGTTCTTTGTAAGCTAAGTAGCCACGTAGTCCGACAGAAGAGATAAGGGATGTTAAAATTATTCTTTCGCAATAAACCATTTTTATCTCTGGACAATCTCGCCTTTTAGCTAGCCCTGATTTCTAGGTTCTTTGTAAGCTAGGTAGCCACGTAGTCTGACAGAAGAGATAAAAGGTCATAAAAAAACAAACAAATAAAACCAAATAAACCAAATAAACCAAATAAATCCAAAAGGGACCTTGTTCATAAGCATTAAACTTATGAACATCCATATAGGTAGTTTATTATTTTTGAAAAAAATACAGAAAATCAAACACTATCATGCATCATGTAGAAATAAACACATGATAATGTTTAGGAAAATAAACACTTGCATTCATACTTGCATTAACATCATATTCATGCATTTTTGTTTTCTAGAAAATGGAGGGGACGTAGTAGACAATTGAAGAAAGTGGATATTCCCCAATACCATGGAGTGAAGTTAGAACGGCTTCGCACGTGAACGCCATCGAGGTCCACTCCAACTTTGAAAAATCCTATGGACGAATTCTCGACCTACCGAAGATCTTTGTCGACCCTATTTTCGTCGGGATCTCTCGGTCCATTTTTGGAACTCTAGTCCCGCACTATTTCGAATTTTCGCATTTTGATATGTGCGCTACTTGTGGAGTATGAGATTATGTTCGAGATGGCCCAAGTCACGCGTGGTCCATATTCACCATGAGGCATATACTCCGCAGCCCAAGTCGCCGCTATCATCCGATTTCCATCTCTGCAGACTACCCCGACAGCAAAAGGGAATGTCCAGGGTTGGAAAGTCACAATGTTAGAAGACCATCTGTCCTCTTTGGCCGAAAGGGCGCACTAGTTCGCTTTTAACAAAACCCTGGCTCCGACGTGTTTGGGACTATGTTGTTTCCCTTCCACCTCGACACAAGGATCAAGCCGCCACGAACGCCTTCTTCGCCGACGTGAACTCAAGAGTCCCTTGCCTCGCACTTTGTAGACACCTTGCTTTCGGCTGAATTTTGTCACCAAAAGCAAGGGAGAACACTCAAGTGTCGTTCTTCACCGCTATTCGTGTGGGGTATCACACATTTCTATGCCTCTGAGTCACATGGGGATGTTCCCGACCCTTTGAAAAGCTTCTCCAAAATCCATCTCCACCGACGCCTAACCATGGAGTGGAAGGTCGAGTTGGAACAATGGGATGCCAACCACTTATCCCGGGCATGTCCTCGGTTCCGAACTCGGCCCAATCCTCATCGATGTGGGGATTATCCGAACATACCGCTGATAGGTCTCAGAGGTTGCGTAGCCTATTCTCCAAAGGTGGCTATGAGACAACTCATGCAGAACTCAAACCGCATTATCACGGAAGAGCTCCAGCAGGACTCGTGTTTCTTCTGTAGACCCATGCACTATTGGCGAACTCACTTGGCCGTGCGAAGAGCATGGGAGAAACCAATTTTTACGGGAGACAGAGAAAGCTAGGCAAAGCTCGAGTAGTCGTCTCGATGACCATGAGGAGTGGAGGAGAAACAGAGGGATGTCACAACCATCCACCCCACCTGCCACGCCTTCAACCAGGGAGAGCTCCAAAGCCAAATCGATGCCTTGACTCCAAAGGATAGAAATCATGGGAACTCAGACATGAGGGCCCTTGAAGAAAAAGAGCAAGAATCTATCCTCACTATAGACGGCTGGTAGAGGCAGTGCAAGAAGAAAGATCATGAGATAGAGCGCCTCAAGGACCAATGTGCTTGATTCCATGAGCAAGTTATCCGAGCATCCAAATTCCGCGTAACCGGGGATAACCAACTTCAAGAAATGACCGCCAAGTCAGGCACACCTTGAGGCCGAATGTGCAAAACAGGCTTAGATGATCAAGGGAATGTTGCAAGATCTAGTAAGGACTCGGTTAGAAATACATCAAGGATGGGAGACCACCCAAAGACTTAATAAAAGCCTTTCTGAGCTCGCACCGCAAGAGAAAGAGAATTGATTAACCCAGGATGCCCAAGTGCTACGAGAAAGAGACCGAGCCCTTGAGAGACTCAACGATTTACAAGCCTTGGTCGTCCATCAAGAGGCGAAGATCAAAGAGGCTCAGAAGTATAGCAAAGATATGAGCCAGGGAGTCTACAAGTAGCACCGAAAGCACTTCACTCATCATGTACGTGAAGCCAAAGAGGAATTACATAGAAATCGAACCCCTGCCGTGGGTTTCTTTAGGCTTTTCCGCTTCGCCAAAAAGTGCTTCGTAGCATGGTGTAGGGGAGTGTACACTTTCTATAGATAAATAAAATTTCCTTTTATTCAAAAATTGTCTATTTGCATGCATTTCATTCATTTGATTACCCCTCCTTCACTTTTAATAAATAAAGGTAATAATAAGGAAGGATTAACTCGATACGTCTTCCATAATCAGAAGGATGGAGAGAAAAATGCTCATAATCAAGCTCTCCCCAATGGTCTACTCACCCCAAGAGGAGTCACCATTCAATCATTCATAAATAGAAATTTCACCAAAACAACAGTAAAATAACAAGAGAGAAAGAGAGTTCAACATGGAAATAATTTAAACAATTAGTCAAACACTTGGTGGGCAATGTTTCATTTTCCTCCAATAATTCATATAA